AAATATTCTATTCAACAATATGGCATGTATGTTTATAAATAAAAAATGTTGGGTTTTAAGATATATTTACACGTGGTGTGGATATTTTTGCAAGAATATCCATGGGTGAATCTACATTAGTTGATTCACTTTTTTTTTTTTTAATGATTTAAAGTGTCAAAAGTACCTTTTACATATACCACATTATAAACATACTAGCCACATTTTTTTTCCACTTTTTTGGCCTAAAAGAAAATTTGGAGAGTTGCTGCGGTTACTACTCACACTTTTTTAATGTAAAGGATTGGGTCAATATTTTGATATATATGCAGCTTTTTGGCTTCAAGATTTCTGCCTCATTACACCTATCAATACCGCAATGGATCTTTTGTCCCATTTTCTGTGCCAATTTCTGTTACACTTTTTATCATATTTTTTTCTCTTTCATAAATATCATGTTTTAATTCTTTTTTGTTACCTTAATATCCAATAACTATTAACAGAGTAATACACAAAATTTAACAAACTATGAATTTTCTACTTATTTTTAATTTTCTATTATATATATATTTTTGAAAGTGTTGTTTTTACTTTTTACTCAGTTAATAGTTGTTGGATCTTAAGGAAATAAAAAAGAACTAAAACATCATGTTTATGAAGGAAAATAGAAATATAATAAAAAATGGGACAGAGATGATACTACAGATCCATTGCGAATCAATACTCACTCTCCATTGCTCCAAATGGCTACTAGTTAGTACAACAATTAAATTCTTTGTTTTTGGGATATCTATCAATGTTATCAACATATCTTGAATTTTCCATGCATTTCTTTATGTCGCGCCCTATTTTTCGAAAAATAACTTTATTGTGTTGAACAATGTATTTATTGATTTTAGAAATAGAATAAAGAAAAAAGGCTTAAAATGAGACTTAAAAAGTGCGACGGTTTTGACCCAAAATAATAGTCTAAAAAGGATTTTTTAGGAAAAAAAATTAAAGTCGCCACTTGGTATTGAATTAAGGTGTACTAAGTCATCCAAAATATGTTTTTAAGATAAAAAAAAAAAAAATAGAACCCTTTTTAGACGATTTCAGGTCTTTGAAAACAAGAGAAAAGAATTCGGGAGTCAGGGTTAAAGGAAGGGTAAGCAAAGATTTGATCTAAGGCACCCTTTCAACCTAATTAAAACTAGTTGTGAGATTTAGTCGAAAATTTTTCTTCATCTAACCTATACAACTTATCACATTAGGGCGTTTCTATATAGATGCAAATCTAGACCTAATGAATATCGAATGGGTTGAAATATCTTTTCAAAGTTTAATTTGTGCAAATCACATTAATTGTGATGTCCAAAATGATTCTTAGAAGAGGTCACGAATATGCAAAAGGTGAAACTCGAAGAAAAGAAGAATTATAATATATAAGTATACATGACCTGAAAGAAAGGAATGCAATATAAAAGGTACGGGGGATCTAAATTCATGACTCAATTTTTCTTTCTATAGAGGAGATATAAGCGTGCTACGATTAAGAAATCATACTTGTCCATTTCTCATATTTGAAGGGTGGCTCTGCTAACCTAATCAAACAAATGGACTAACCTATTTTTATTTTTCTAAATGGAATGTACGTCTAAATGTTATGTTTCACGTAAATAGGGGTAAGGGAGACAATATGTAGAAGAAATATCGTGCAAAATGAGAAAAGGGTCTAAAAATGAAAAACATGTATGAAATGTAATGAATATCATGCAAAGAATGTGAATCTACTGCGAGACGGTTTAAAGGGTCTAACATTGGATTAACCAATTTCTACTAGTCTTTACTAGCGTTAGACTAGTGAAAAATCGAGGAGAAAGGCCACAACTAGCGTTGTACTAGTGTGATGACGTCATGCATTTATTATAACTAAATAAATCTTATAAAACATAATTAAATCAACTAAATACATAATGCACATAGAATACATAACACATAGGCTTAATTTTTAGATGCAAAACCCTAATAAAAAAGAATAAACACGTAAGCACACAAGCAAGTAAGCGCAAATAAAAGCCTAACTATTACATTCGAGGCCCTAACTATAATCTAAAGGGAAAAATTTTAAAAATAATAATCTAACTATTACATTTATCTAACTAATTATATTTTTTGGCAAAAAATTAAAACCTATCTATTACATAGCCTAACTAAAACCTATCTTTTGGACCATTTTTATTTCTTTTTTGGGCCAAAGCCTCCTAAGGCCAGTGAAAAGTCCAAGGAAAAATACACAGGCCAGCCCATAACTTTAATCAAACTAACCCAGCTGAAAATGCATGGGCCTTGGCTTTCAAGCTCAAGTCAAAATCCAATCAGAAATAACTAAAACCCACTTCCAAAAATCCAAACAAACCATTAATCATCTAAAAAAATTAAGACCCAATTATGTCCTATAACCCGGAAATAATTTGCTCAAAAACACATTTAAAACATAAAAAAAGAGGATTAAAACTTAAAAGAGGCAAAATTAGTTCAATTTTTTCATATTTTGGACCATAGTGGAATTATTTAAAAATTGGGGGCCAAAATATAAATTTTCCAGATTATTCATGCAAGCTCATCGCAGCTTTCTTCTACCCTTCTTCTTCTGCAACTTTGCAACCCATTCTATTACAACATTTCTTACTCTAGGTCAAACAAAAAAAAAACCATCGATTTATCAATCAAACACCAGTACAAGGAGTCCAACCCATTTTTATTTGACAAAACCCAACTACAAATTCCATTTCTTGGGGATCAAGCGAAGAAAGACAAGCAGGAAGAATGTGAAATCAACTCATGGCGGAACCAATGAATAGATCCACCGGATTCTGAAGATTTTCTGATCAAACCATTAAATTATCAAACATCATACAAACCCTTTTGTGCGAATTCCACCCATCTAAATAATCTTTCAACACATCACAAATCACAAAAAATCTAAGAACCTAATTCATGCAGACCAACTCATGTAATGACCCAACAATCTCATGAAATAACGTTAAATAGATTAAGAGGGAAAACTATCATCACCTACAAATTATTGAGGCTCGAATCGATGTAAGAAAAGCTGAAAAATCTTGAAAAAAGTCACTGAAACGAAGCCGAACAAGTTCCGTTGCAGACCTTGCAATGCTGATAATCTCGTGATTTTGAGCTCGGATTCAAAGGGGTTAACGATGTTTTTTGGAGAAAGTTTCAAGACAAAATTTGTTGTCCTACATCTACAGATAATGCAGAAACAAAAGGATCCTCAAAGGGTTAAAATCAAAGTGAGAATTGGATCCAAAGAGGGCTGGTGCATCAGCTCGGTATCAAGTTTTCCAGCAATTTTTCTTTCTTTTTTTCTCTCTAATTTTTCTTTCATTTCTCTCTTTTCTCTCCCTTTTTTGCTTTTCTGCCGCCTCCCTCTTGTTTCTTCTTACCCTAGTGTTGCATTTTTGAAGGTTTTTTCAGGAACAAGGGCTGTTAAACCCTCATATCAATGGTTCTTAAAAAACAGATTTGTTGCAAATTTTGGAGCCATTAGATGGCTTTAATTCCAGAAGATTCTTGATGTTTTGGATTAAGGCCAAGTGGCCATGTATTGGGGGACTTGAAGAGAAAGCAAAAATGTAAAAAAAAATGCATGAAAATAGGATGAAAATGCAGTTGCAATATTGTACCATGTTCATATTTATGGCTTCTAGTACGAAACCATGAAGATGATGCGCGTGTGCTCAGGTACTTTTTTTTTTTCCAAAAAATGTATTGATTTTTCTAATTCTTCTTCCTACTTTTCTTTTTGATTTTTCTAATTTTTCTTCCTAGTTTTCTTTACTTTCCTTTTCTTTTTCGATTTTCCTAAAAAAATGATTTGAAGTGATTTTCTTAAGAAACAGAAATGAAATAAAATAAGCTAAAATAATAAAATTTAAACAAAATAAACTAAAAATGAACAAAAATAAGAATAAAAATGAAGCAAAATAAATGAAAAAATTTTAGTATCTACTTGCCCTCTTTGTGTGAATTTCGCAGAAATTCAAGATAAAGATATAGATACCAAATTACTCACTTGTTTAACCCAACTAGATCTGAATTGACTAGTAAAACCTAATAAATTGAAAAATCAAAGTCTAGAAAATAAAAGGGTTGGTGGGATAAAATTTGAACCCAATAAAATAACTATTGGTGGGATAAAATTCAAATTCAACAAAATAAAGGTTGGTGGAATGAAAGCCAAATCTCACAAAATAAACGGTTGGTGAAATAAAATCCAAACCCAACAAAATAACTGTTGGTGGGATAAAATTCAAATCCAATAAAATAAAGGTTTGTAAGATAAAACTCAACCCCAACAAAATAATGGTTGGTGGGATTAAATTCAAACCCAACAAAATAACAGTTTGTGAGATAAAACTCAAACCCAACAAAAAAAAGATCGGTGAGATAAAATTCAAACCCAATAAAATAAACAATTGGTGTGATAAAACTCAAACCCAATATGGTTGATGGGATAAATGATAGGGTGCATTTGAGTGGAGTATTTCCCTGTTATTTCATAGTTGTTGGGACTAAATGTTGCTCTATTTGATGGATTCTACTCAGGTTTGGCGGTTTGTATTAATTGTAGGAAGTAATGTTAAAAAGTGCTGAAAATCAAATTTCAGAGGACTTCTTGACACTTAGGTGTGCTCACGCCTAACCCCGATCCAAAAAGCCGTACTCAGTCGCACGTGGGAAGCTCCAGAATATTGAGCGATGCAGTGGACTACAACTTTGGAAAACAGTGGTGTCACTCCCAAGCTGAAGAGAGCTATCTGTAATAGGATTTGTTAATAAGGAAATTTTTGGTAGTCGGTTACCAACTTTTCAACATAAGTAGATAACGTGCGAAGAGCTGTGATGACCTGGAGGTTTTCGTCGTCCTCTCACGTGCCGCACATGTGGGTTAGCAGCATTGTGTTGTTCGCGCATGGCGCGGCGGGTTCAGCTCCGTTGGCCTCTTCTCTTTCTGTCAGTAACCCATGTGTCTCCTGCTGCGTTCTCTACCGCATTGATAGACTTGTTTCTCTATCTGGCAGAATCCAATGCCTCTGCTTTCGCCTAACTTCTCTCTCTGCTTCTTCTTGACGATATTGCTCTGTTTCTCTTCTTACTATGCAAGGAGCATTGATCCTCGGTCTCTCGCGGTCTCTGGGTTGCAGTGGTCTCCGTTGTATTATTTTTATCTCTTCTTCTTTTTACTTCCGGTGAAGTGCATGATTCACTGTGAGCTTCCTCTGTGAGTTGAAACCTAAAACTGATATTTTTGCTTTTTGTTCTTTGATTCCCATTTCGAGCTACATAGCGGCCATGCATCCTCTGTCTCTCGCTTTCTTTGTGTTGTAGTAGCCCAAATAAGCTGCCGTCCGTTCGCGGTGCCTCCTCCTCCTCCATTGTACCTTTTCTACCTCTTCCTTTCCGGTGAGTTGCGCTCCTTTCCGGTGAGGTACGCTCCTCCTCCGCCGTTGTACCTCTTCTATTTCTTGTTATTTGATTCCCATTTCGAATTGCGTAGAGGCCATGCATCCTCTGTCTCTCGCTTTCTTTGTGTTGCAGTAGTCTAGATCAGCTGCCGTCTGTTCGCGGCGCCTCCTCCTCCTCCATTGTACCTTTTCTACCTCTTCCTTTCCGGTGAGGTGCGCTTCTTTCCGGTGAGCCATTGTACCTTTTCTATTCCTTCCATAAAATTCCTTTCCGGTGAGTTTTCTACTTCTTCATTGCTAGGAGTTAGGCATGCCTTTTTACACGCAACAAAAAAAATTGTTAGAACTAGGGTTAACTCCGCCGTTTCTTCTATTCTCTCCTTTCTTTTCTTTATTTCATTCTTTTTGTCTCTCTTTCTTGAACAGAAGACGGTTTTCTTCCCCTCGGCCGCCGCTCCTCAGATCCCTCAAACCCAGAACTACCAACAATAACCACCATCGCCACTTCGCCTTCTACACCAGTATGTTTTCTTCAATGTGACTTTTCTCTGTATGTTTTTAGCCTAGGGTTGATATTTCCTCCTTTGGTGTTTTTCCTCTCCGGTGAGCGTCGATCTTGCCTTTTTTGTTGCAGTGTTTTTTTCCTTTTTTTTGCTTTTTACCTCCACGTTGCGTTGTATTTTGGTTTGGCTGTTCCGTTATCTGGTCTACATGGGTTTGACGTTGGTCTTTGCGTTTTTTCCCCCCTGCGTTGCGCTATTTTTTTTCCCCTTTTTTGTGGTTCTCCCTTGCAAACTCGAGGCTGTGTAGTTGTGTGTCTTGTGATGTGGCTTTTTTAGTCTCTGGACTGTTGCTCTTTTTCCCCCCTTCTTGTCCCCCGCCCTTTAATATTTGTCTAGCGCTCTCAGAAGAAACAAAAAATCATTCTTTCCCCGAGAAAACAAACTCTTTGTTTTTCCAAAGCACTTGCCGATCTATTCCAAGAATTTTCTTTTCCATATGCTTTCGGCCTCGCTGGACTATGATTGTCAAGAAAATAACATTACCGAGTTCTGTTGGTGGTGGTTTCAAGCAATCGTCTTTTTTTCCCAGATACATTGCAGATCTGTTCAAAATTTTATTGTTTTCCAGCACTTTCTATCGTCAGCTTTTTTTCCCTTTCTTTTTTATTAGACATGATATAACTAAAATCATGTATTTCTGCTTTATCTATTCTGTTCTCCATATTGTTGTTGATCCTTACAGTGAGCATTTTTTACAATTTTTGAATGGCATGCTTTTTCTCTTCTTGTGGAATATTTAGATTGGTATTTTGCTTATTGTTAAGTTTGCTTGTTTTTATCCCTTTCTTTTTATTAGACCTGATATAACTAAAATCATCTATTTCTGCTTTATCTATGCTATTCTCCATACTGTTGCTAATTTTTTCAGTGAGCATTTTTTGCAATTTTTGAATGGCATGCTTTTTCTCTTCTTGTGGAATATTTAGATTGGTTTTATGCTTATTGTTGAATTTGCTTGTTTTTTTTGCATATGTTTTTTTTAGGGAACTTTTTGGTGCTTTTGTTGTGCTACGTTCTCCTTCACTGTGTAAGTTTGTTAACTTTTTTATGTATGTATTCTTATCTTTTTAATTCCTTGGGCTCTGTTTTAGTTAGATTGATGATTGTAGAACTTGTAAACTGCTCTTAAGTGTACTCTATACGTGTTTCTGAATAAATGTGTCCATTCATGAACAATTTTCTCTTAATTTTTCCTTTAATTTGAATATTTCTTCATGTTTCCTTTTGTTTCTGGTTAGGTTTTTTACAGAGATGTATTCCTCCTTTCCTTACTGTATCATCAGAAGATTTTAGAAACCTTTCTCTTCAGCATCATTCCCATTTGCAGATGCCATTTCGGCTTTTCTCTCATCAAGAATTCATTGCATAACTCTGATTTGTATTTCCTTCTCTACTCGTTTTCCAGCAGTTTCTCCTCAGAGTTTCTCATTCCTCTTTTGCTTGTAGTGGTCATCTGTTTTCTTGGCAAGTTCTGGCTTTTTTCTATTGGCAGGTGCTCCAGTTCGATATTAAATAGGCTTAGTTCCATCATTTTCATTAGCAACTCCATATTGAACTTAGAAGTTGCCAAATCAGTATTTTCTCTAAAAATGTATTTTTTCCATGCTTTCTTTTAAAACAGAGATGACTAGTGGGATGCTGCTCGTGGATTTCTCAGTATCTGATCTCATCAATTTTTTGGGTTTTCTTTTATAGTGGTATGGCCAAACCTCTTTGGGTTTTTTTCCTCCTTTCTTATCTTATCTTTTTCTCCTTTACTCTTTTAGTATTTTTATCAATTTCATGCGCAGGTGCTGCAATTGGACATTTCTTTGGTTCTTTTCCCTTACACGTTTGTTTCATCAATTTATTGGAAATGGTTCAGGTTGTTATGGGATAATGTAATGAGTTTACGCTGCTTTAGATTGAGACTGATTTACGGATGGTGATTTATAATCTCATGTTATCAACATATAAGACTAACATTGTGATTTATAATCTGATTGTGATTTGTGTGTGAAATGTGCAGGTTAAGTAGGGGAAACGTAAGAAGAATCAGCAGCGATGGCAGTGCCTTTGCTTTCAAAGAAGACAGTGAAGAAAAGGGTCAAAAAGTTCAAGCAACCCCAGACAGAGTGCAAAATTATAACCTTTGTCTATACTGCTTTCAACAAATGACATTCTTAAACCTACTAATGTCTCTGCCGGATTCACCTTATCTGACAGCAACTCAAACACTCGCATCCAACTTGCTAAGAAAAGTGGAAAAGGGGAATACAGGAAGTGTCATTAGTCTTCCCAAGCATAGTAGGAAGGTGAGCCTCTATCTTTGTATCATGAAATAAACGGTAGTATGCTAAGGTGTTCTCTCAAATATTTAATCAATTAGAAAGCTAGGAACCTTCAACTTTGAAGGAAAAAAGAGCAGGGAAGTGAGCACTAATAAAAAAAAAGGAAAGCCTGCCAGTCTATATTTTTACAATGAAAGAGAAATCCATGACCCGTATCAGTTTTCCTATCCCTCGCTCTCCTTTTTTTTCTTTTTTTGTCAATTGAATCTATATCTCAAGAAAGACATGGAAAATTCAGTTCATGCTTCTGAATATCATTGATCAGCTCTCTGTGTTCATAGAAAATTCAACCCAACTCTTTGTACCCGTTTGTCTAACCTCCTTTCCTTGCTTAAGCAGGTCACTCATCATGAATATGAAGTCTAAACAGCAAATGGAAGAACAATTACAAAAAAAGGAAAACCAAAAGTACTGTAATGTTTGCGGTATGTAATTTTGATTTCTGATCAGTATGCATTGTCGTAGGGGAACGATTCTTTATGTGTATATTTCTTGGTTATGTGTAATTGTCTCTATTACTACAGGACCCAAGCTGACATAAAAAGCTAGAGACACCAAAAGCTGTTACACCTAGAGCTGTTACTAAGGTAATTAAACAATGAACTAGGATAAATTTTCCTTCTCTGTGTCATCATGCTGGTTTTTTTAGCTTTTGATCTTTTGTGGAGTGTCAGTCGTGTCTCACCCAACAAGAAGTAGGATTTTTGCCTATTTTTGATGAATGGGATGTACTAGACAGACAATAATCGTGCTCACGAAATTCTCTTACCTTGAAATGGTGTTACTCTTATTCATATCATTTAGGATTAAGTTGTGATTACTAATAGATTAATGCAATGAAACAGAGCAATTGGTTAACCTGAGCAAGGTAAAGTAGAAACAAGGAGAAATTTAACTGTATGGGATGAAGTTTGTCTCTGTACACTGCAGGATGCCTTGTGATTACGGTCACATATAATTTATGTTATGTGTGCTGACATTTGTGATTGGAATTTCACGATAGGGAACAAAGGGACAAGTTCATACAAATTCATCTAATATAGGTGATCTGGTTTCAGAAGGATCTCTGAATCCTTATGCAGATGATCCCTATGCATTTGATTAGAGGTATCCCGTTTCATGTTAGTTCTATTTGAATTGCAGTACTTTAATTAATGTGCAGTTGACCTTTCCTGCATTGGGTTAATAGTTCATGTACTCAGGTGCAAGATTTACTCCATAAACTAGACAATTATTTTTAATTTTTTTGCTACTGGAAATGGAATGGGACAGCTTTTGATTGTTAAACATTTTTCTTTTTATTAAGTATGAAGCGTTTGGGTCGACCGTGAAGAAGCCAGTGCAAAAAAAAAGAAAAAAAAGATTTGTCTACAAAAAAGGTTGCTTCTACCCACTGATTATTCTATAAGATTTATTGCATGCATTGTTTTCTATGTCCTGAGCTACATTAGACGAGGAAACTTTTTTAAACGTTTAGCTTGTTCAATATTGATCTAGCATAATGCTATGAGATCATTTTGGTAAATCTACAGTCTGGCATGACTACTGAATGTTCAGTTGTTCTTGATACTGCTAAGGAGCTGTTTCTCTTAGTTAAGTTGTTTGTAGTATCAAATCACTGCTGCATCTGGATTTTGGCAGGAACTATATCATGCAATAGAAGGCTTTGCAAATGGAGGATGAAACTTTTTAATTCTAGACATTTTAGCACACAAAAAATGTACATTGCAACTGTAATAATGTTCCTTCATCGATAAACAAGAATTAAACGTTTGCATGTGTCTGAAATGCGAAATTGCCTGTTTTCGTGGCTCCAAAACTCTTATCTGGAAGTTTGATTGCTACAATAACACAAAGCTCTTGTTAAAGATGTATGGCCAATATTGCATTCCCCTCTGCATCTTGATTTTTTGTGAAAAGAAATTATGTTTCTCGATTTTTCGTGTCACTTTTGTTTGTGCCTCCAATCTTTTACCCCAACAATGTCGTGCCACGTGAGAAAACTAAAATCAATTGAGGGTCTCTTGTCAACATATAAGACTATTTGTATACCTTGCTTGAGGTCAGGGAATGTATGATTTCCCTAGGTTCATCGTGGATTTGTTATTAGTTATTAGTTTTTAAAAACCCTATGCATTCCTTGGTTTCCTTTTTTTTTCGGTGGTTAATGTTATTTTTGTTATAGAGCATGGATCCGGGTCACTTTTCATGATGATACTGGGTGTGTAAATGTTATTGCATTAGGTGTCGAAGCTGAGAAGCTGGTTGGTGTTAGCACGCTTGACATGTTTGAGGCTGCTGACGATGAGGTTATGTGTTGCTCTTTTCTCATGCATAGATACCTGAACTTGGAGATTGTTCAACTATATGTAGCCAGGTCATTTGGATTTGTCATTAATGAACTTTCTTTTATGCAATTTTAATGGTCTGATTTGTCTACATGGATTCTTGAATTGCCACTTTATTTCGATTCAACCTTTTTGCAGACCTTTAAGTTGTACCATCGTGTGGCTTGTCGAATTGAACTGACCAGGCTCCTATGCTATTTTAACCGTTCATCCGATGTAATCAACAAAGTGACGTGCACTAAATACGCTGTTGTTGCTTGCTACCCAGTTTAGAGTGGTTGTTTTTGGATGCTTATTTCTTGTGCTATCTTGTCAGCTCGTGAACTTCTTTGAGCTTGTAGTGGCGTCGGTATTAGTTTTGAGGCTTATATGCTATTGATACTAATAGCATTTAGTGGTTCTGTTCTTTTTAAAAAATTTTCTTTGGGATGCTCTGTTATGCTGCCAGCTCAGAGCCTTTCTTCTTGGGCTGAGTTCTTAGGCAGCAATAGTATTTGGAATAGTGTTATGCTGCCAGCTCAGAGCCTTTCTTCTTGGGCTGAGTTCTTAGGCAGCAGTAGTGTTTGGAATAGTGATATGTAGACTATAGACCATATGTTTGTTACTTAGACGATTCATTCACTTTGACAATTACTAGACTTTGTTTTGTTTCTGCGTATCTAAAACCTAGATCTTTGTATAGTTCTTTAGCCTTTGGAGTTTTAAGCAACAAACATTCCTCCTGTCCTAGCTGTTACTTTTGTTATTCCAACTTATTACATCTAATAAAGTCAATGTCCTATTTATTTTCAAAATTATATACTTGCTACATATGTTTTATGGGCATCCATAATAAATTATCACCGCGCAGGGCGCGGTTCATGCCTCCTAGTTAGGAGAAAAACTAGGATGAGATTTATGTTGCTCTCTTTGGTGGGGCCCGGCCGAAAGAAAAAAGGAGGAATTCCTTGGCCTTTTGGGCCGCTACCGACGTAAAAGGATTTGTACTTTTCCTAAGGTTTGTCTTTGACTTTGTTTTTGTTTTTTTAAAACAATTAGGAAGAAACCAACAAAAGGGCCACAGTTGTGGACACGTGGAATTTGCTTTTTATTTTTGGTTTGACCAAATTGAAAAAGCATAAGACTCTCTTGTATGCTTTGCTTTGGAGACAATTGAAAGCAACAGAATTCCTTATTCTTTTCTTCTTCTGTTGACCGAAATTGGACAGGCAAAAATTGACAACTTTTCCCAAATTCCTTACGCATGGTTTGTGTAAGAACCCGAGAAAATTATATGTATGTCCTGAAATTTATTTCATTTTATTTACCTTGATATTAGAAACATTATATATAACAAATAATTGGGTAAATTAAATGTCTAATTGAAATTTTATAAAATCAAGAATTTAGAAATATCCTAGAATGGTGGACAAATTTCTTATAGGGATATACAAATTAGAATAAATAAAGTTAGGAGTCAATGCATGAAATAATAAACTACGGGCCTTAGTAAGCAAATAAGCTAAAAGGACGACCAATTTAACCTTAAAGGTTGGATAATTAACCATGCAACCAAGAGAGGAATTGAGCTTCTAGACAACCGAAAGAAACTTAGGCAAATCACTTCAAAACTCTTGGGCGGTGATTGAGAGCAAGCTACAGAGAAATGCTAAGGCAAGCAGTGGAAGTGAGGAAACAAATAGAAAGTGGCTGGCTAAGTTGGTCGGCCACCGAGTAAAGGAGCCTCGAAGTGTCCAGCACCGAATGAAGAATTAGAAGCCGAGTGAAGAAAGCTGTGGAATGTCTGATAATAGCAACAAAACTGAGTGGTGAGGCCTTGAAATTTCTATCACCGACTGAAGAGTGAGTGGTCAGTATTTAGAATACCAACCGAGAGAGTGAGGGAGAGAACTCTGCATCTTTTCTTCCTTAGACAGCAGCAACCGAGAAACAAAACAGAGCAATCGGATAACTTTCCCATTTCTACATTCTTTAGCCGATCAAAACTGAGAGCTAAAGTGAAGGTTAGGAAGAGAAACTTGCTCGTCCCATCACTAATTAGCTCCAGCCGAGAGGAAGAGTCAAAGTTGCTGCAATTTTAGGAGGAACCGGAACTTAAAACAATCTGCCTCTGGTGAAACTTAACGGAGAAGGTAAGAAACTTCAACAATCTTGTGCTACTTATCTGGTATAACTGAAAGTAGTGGCTGCATGTTGGTTTTTAGCCAGGAATAATAATATTTAGCTGAAGGGAATTCTGATAAGGAAGAAAAATGGGAGCTGGACTGAAGTTGAGGAACCGAGAGCTTGCATGGTTGATTTGCAGCCTGTGATTACTGTAAAATGGAAAACTATGTTGGGTAATGCATGTAACATGTTAGCTTTATGTGTTAAGGGGATTTTAGTTGAAGAAACTTGAGGAAAGTTCGAAATTTTGGGGTTGAAACCGTAGGAAGAAACCTGCTGGAAATTTTTCCAGGTTAACCGAGAGAAAGAAAAGAAAAGGTTTCTAGCTGTCCACATGGATTTGTGGCCTCGAAACTCTATGTTAAACTGTAATATATATCATATAATGGCTTGGTCTGAACATGCATGAAAGATTTGAACATAAATTGAAGAGATTATTGGAGAAAATTGTGTCAACGTGACTGCTACCAGAATTTTGGAACATGGCCGAGGGGGGGAATCAGCATCTGAACCAGCGTTGCTTTTCAATTTCCCTTGGCTGTAAGCTTTAGATCCCTGCTGAAAGTACCCTGTAGTCTGATAACCAATCCTTGCTTGTTGAACTTAACGAAAGAAAACTGAAGAAATCTGTGTTTAAGAGCTGAGTGGCTGTCAAAATCTTTCCAGCATGGCCGAGAGAAGGAGTTGGGCATCTGATCAGTTTTTCCTTCGAAGTTTAGTTGCAATTTTTATACTTGTTGTCCAAGATTACCTTGTAAGCTTGTTCATTATATATTTGCATGTTGAGTTGAAGTTAAAACTGAAGAAAGAACCGAATCTTTAATTGTCTTATGGCTGAAGGTTTACTTAGCTAATGACAGAATTAGTTGTGGCTTTTGGGTTGAATAATCCGTTGAAACTAGATGCTAATTGCTTTGGTATATGCTGAAATGAATGTAACTTAAGTATATAGAGATTTAAGCAAGTGAAAGAATAGAGTTTTTGCTTAAAAGCTTGAAATAACATTACTGGAAATTTGTGATTTGTCTGTCTACTTGGGGCATATGAAAGTGAAAGGAAAGACTTGAGAAAACAACAAATGTTGGACCGTTACACTGCTAGAAAATTTAGTTGGGGAATGCAATAGCTGAAAAAGTAGTAAAATTTAAACGAGATTTAAACTATTGGCAACTTGGAATCTAGTTTAATCCAGAAAGAAAATAATGAAAAGTCAATTTGCCTTAATCTTAGAATATTGGATAGAAAATGGTTTAATCTTAGGTTAAACGTTTTATAAGACTATAAACTTGGAATATGTATATTTCTTGGTTTAAAATGATAAAGTCAATAAGTCAAAATGAAATATTGAATAAATATTGAATCTCTTATATTTTATATTTTAAAGTCAAACTTGACTTTAATCGATCAAATAATATGATAATAAATAATAAGTGAGCATCTACAAATTATATATTTACTTTGGAATTATGAACTTATCCCAAGAAGTAGCTGTGAGCCAGGAAATGAACACGAGGCTCGAGAATAATTTATTTGGATATTTGGTGAGTGTTTTCCGAATTTATGTGTTAAATTGCTTATGTTTACCTAAGTGCAATTATATGGCAAATGTGTTTATTATGAAATATTGCTAAGTGATTCATTGCAAAGTGTATCTCAATTGTCCCTCGCCTTCTAAGTCGAGAGTGTACTTTATCGCACTCGATTTAGTTGAGATTGAAGGTTGATAATTGATCAAGTGATGTTGTAAGTGTGCATGACTGTAAGCCGTGTGTGTACTTTATCACACTGGCTGAACTTGGTCCCAAAACCCTTTGTTCAACGGATTATTCGAGCCAGCAAAAAGGGCTCGGTCGGATAGGACGGTAGCTTTGGGTAAGTGTATTGGTATGCTCGAGTATTACCACGGAGTAGCAGATTACTGATATTGATATGGCTATCCAAGTGAGGGAAGTGTTTATTGTTTTGGAGGTTATAAGGAGGAGTTCGGCGGAGTGTGTAGTGCATTGAAGTGGCTCTAATGCAAGCACCGTATCCTTTTAAAAGTGATTGTTCAGTGAAGTGTCTCCCAATTGCTAATGAAAGTGATTGTACAGTGAAATATGCACTATTTGCTTAATTGTATTGATTCATGTGATTATTAAATGTTTCTTGCATGGAAACCTCACGGGCGTAAGCTTACCCTTTTAGTTTTGTTTTTCTTACCGGAATCGGAGATTGAAGAGTGATTGGATTGAACTAGAAAATTATTTTGGAAAGATTCGTTATTCTGTGTATGTAGTGTAGGCATGATCTTTTTTGAATTTTGAGACGGTTGAATTTTTTTTTAAGTTGGTGTGATATTAAGAATGGATATTTAGAACAGATATTTTATTTCTTTTATTGGACAAATTTATGTTTCAAACTGATTGGAGATGTACTTAAGAGTGAATGTTCAGTTGTCCAATGGTAATGTTATCTCTGAAGTTAATGTGAATGAGTGAATTCTGGCGAAAGCCAGGCAGGCGATCCACTAACTTCTAGGGTATGCCCTAGGGGAAGGTGGGGTCGTCACAGTTTGTTCTCCATTAATGGAGAACTAATTCCCTAATTCTAGTCAAGAGGACAACTGACGATTTGGTTTGGCAAATACTGTGAGATCTAAATTATTTAAATTGCTTCCTTCATTTATTGGTATTTATATATTTTCTACTTTTAATTGTTATAACTTTTGTGTATGATTGAATAGTACGCAATATTTAATTATTCACATAAGTTATTTTGCTAATTAGGGGTAGTTGGATCCGTAATTGTTCGATTACCTCTGTCCCGGTAGCAACTGGCATAATTGGATTATGTTAGGAGAACATACGATTTAGTTTAAACAAACTCTCGTAGCGTGTTTGTTAGTTAAAATTGATTTTTTCTAAACCTTAATACAATCTAGAAATTAAATTCTATGGTCGTACCTAAGATTGTTTCGGGTTAGAGAAATAGTTAACGGTCATATTTTGACTATCGAAAAAGTAAGAAAAAACTGGTTGTTTATCGCGTGTATGACAGTTATAACTAATTTATCAATAAATGTTGAAATTTTATGCGAATCGATGATCAATGCATGAATTATTTTTGAAGTGTACCTTTGGTTAGAGTTCTCCTAATTATTTCTGTCAATTAATTATTTTTCGCATTTGATTTATGTAGTCCATTAGCATTTAATTCTAAAACCCCCTATTTATCTCGACTCGAAGGAAACAAATTTATCCCCAATTTTTGAGGAGACGACCCTACTTACTATTGTCTACTAGTTAGTGACTTTTGTCAGATAATTAATTCTGATATATCGGATTAAACAAACTCTTTCGGAATAGGGTGAATCAAGTAATCTATTGCACACCTAAAGTCCCTACTCCAGTCCTAGAATTGATTATTGACTGTTTTAAGTGGTAGTTAGGTTTTATTATTATTATTGTACAGGTTCGATAACCTATCAATTTTTGGCACTGTTGCCAGGGACTGGTGCTTGAATTATATATTTTTTTTGAGTTCAGTTTCTTCTTGGTGTTTTTGCTAGTTTATGCCTCGTTCTTTTCACACAGGTGAATTGATATACGACCCTGAAATTGAGAAGGCAGCGCGTAGGCGTAGGCAAGAGACCAAAAGACGAAAAGAAGGGCAATTATTTACTGCAAACGAATCAATAGAAGATGAATTTAGCATGACCAACAACCGAACATTAAGGTAACTGGCTGCCCCGGAGTTGACCCACCAACATTTGTGCATTACATTCCCAACTTTGGCTGAAAATACCTCATTCGAGCTGAAATCAGGGTTAATTCACCTCCTACCATCGTTCCATGGTCTCTCTGGTGAAAAACCCCACAAACACGTTCTGGAGTTCGAAGTGATTTGTTCTAGCATGAAACCTCCTGGGGTAACTGAAGAGCAAATTAGACTTGGAGCCTTCCCTTTCTCTCTCAAAGATGCAACGAAAGATTGGCTATACTACCTATTTGTAGGTAGTGTTACCACATGCGCACAATTGAAAAAAAAATTTCTAGAAAAATTCTTCTCTGCATCCCGGACTACAAGTTTGAGGAAGGAGATATGCAGCATTAAGCAGTACCTCAGGGAGTCCTTGTATGATTATTGGAAAAGGTTCAATAAGTTGTGCACTAGATGCCCACAGCATCAAATTAATGAACAACTATTGATCCAATACTTTTATGAAGGGTTCCAGTCATCTGACAGAAGTATTATTGACGCTGCGAGTGAAGGAGCACTGGCAAATCAGAAACCGAGGGAAGCGTGGGAGTTTATTGAAGCAATTGTAGAAAACTCTCAGCAATTTCGCTTTCGTGAGAGTAACCCTCCTCTATTACCTACCCGTAGGGTCAACAAGATAGAGACGTCATCTACTCAGCAGCAACTGTCAGAGTTGACGTCTTTTGTTCGGCAATTAGCCGTAGGGAATGCGCAGCGAGCGAATGTCTGTGGAATTTGTACAAGTATGGATCATCCCATAGATGCATGTCCCATCTTGCAAGAAGATGGAGCTGAACATGTAAACATGGCAAGATATTTCAACACATACAATCCGGGTTGGAGGACCCATCCCAACTTCAACTACGGAAATAGGCCATATAATTCATTTGGAAATCGTCCTCCAGAATTTCAACAATCATGGCAACCAAAGCCTTAGCCTTCGTCTGCAGATTCAGGAGAATCTTTTGGCGACATTGTCAAGAGTCTGGCCATTAATACTACTCAGTTTCAAAAGGAAACGAGAGCGGGCTTATTGGAAACTAGGCCGGGCATAAAAGATATGGAGACTCGAATGAGCCAAATGACAACTGCCATTAATCGCCTAGAGTCTCAGGTTTTTAAAAAATTACCATCACAACCCAAGAGAAATCTAAAAAATGGGAGTGCCATGACACTGAGAAATGACAAGGAAGTAGAGGGACTTAAGTTGGCAAACCTAAAAAGTAAAAGTGAAGAAGAGATAGAAAAGAAGATTGAAAATGAAGAGCGCATTCACGAAGACCCTAAGGTAACACTTACTCCTTCAATTCCTATTAAATCTAACTTACCTTTTTTTCCTTGCAGGTTGGAAAAGACAAAGAAGGCAGAAAAGAAAAAAAAGATCCTGGATGTGTTCCGAAAAGTGGAGATTAATATTCCCTTGTTGGATGTTATTAAGCAGATACCGAAATACACGAAGTTTTTGAAGGATCTGTGCACTCATAAGAAGAAGTTAAGAGATGATGAAAGAGTGGCGGTGAAAGAAAATGAGTCGGTTATATTTCAAAGAAAACTTCCACCAAAGTGTGGGAACTCAAGTATGTTCACAATTCCATGTAAAATAGGGGATGCCCCAATTAAGAAAGTAATATTGGATTTGGGGGTATCGATTAACGTGATGCCTAAAACCATCTATGCCTCTCTAAATCTTGGGTTGTTAAAAGGCATAAGTATCATAATTCAACTAGCAAACTATACCAATACTTATTCAGAGAGGTTAGTTGAAGATGTTTTCGTACAGGTCAATGAGTTAGTTTTTTCTGCGAATTTTTATGTCTTAGACATGGGGGATGAAAGGTCATTAAATCCGTCACCTATTTTGTTAGGTATATCATTTTTTAACATTGTTAGGATAAAAATAGATGTGAATGAAGGTATTCTATCAATGGAGTTTGATGGAAAAATTATAAATTTCAATATTTTTGATGCGATGAACTACTCGGAGGAATCTAACTCTGTTTTTGCTTTAAGTATTATTGAGTCCCTTATACAGAAAACATTTGAATTGGATAGGGAGGATGCACTGAGAGTGGCTTTGGCGAAACATCTCGAGTTGGAATTAACTCTTGATGTGAAAATAAGTGATGAGTTATACCGTACCGTTGAAGTACTGTACTCACTCCTACCCATTTCTTCAAGATATGAGCTGACTTCTCTCTTTGTGCCAGAGACTCAGAAAAAGTTGATGCATTTTATTGTGTAGGCACCCAAGTTGGAGCTTAAGTCTCTCCCGAAACATCTGAAGTATGCATTTCTCGGGGATAAGGAGACACTACCGGTGATAATTTCTACACACCTGTCATTGAGTCAAGAAGACAACCTAGTTCGTTTTCTTCAAGATCATAAGGAGATGATTGGGTGGTGTATAGCAGACATCAAGGAGATCAGTTCGTCCTCATGCATGCACCGAATACGGCTCATAGACAATGCAATACCAGTGAGACAAGCGTAACGAAAATTGAACCTACTGATGATGGAAGTAGTTAAGAAGGAGATACTCAAACTCCTGGAAGTAAGAATCATCTTCGCCATCTCAGACAGCCCATGGGTGAGACTAGTTCAAATAGTTCCGAAAAAGGCGGGAGTAACTATGGAAGAGAACCAGGAAGGCAAGATGGTTCCGGTCAAAAATCCCACAGGATGGCGCCAGTTCATCGACTACCGGCGACTGAACGCCGTGACCAAAAAGGACAACTTCCCTATCCCTTTTATTGATCAGATGATAGAGAGGTTGGCTGGTCATGTTTATTATTGTTTTCTTGATGATTTTTCAGGATACTTCCAGATCGCGATAGCACCAGAGGATCAGGAGAAAATCACATTCACATGCCCATTTGATACGTTTGCCTACTGGAGGATGCCTTTCGACCTCTAAAATGCTCCAGCAACCTTCCAATGGTGCATGGTAAGTATTTTCTCCGAATATGTAGAAAAGATTATTGAGATATTCATGGATGATTTTAGTTTATATGGGGATAATTTTGAGAAATGTCTTGACAATCTAACTTTATTTCTGAAACGGTATATAGAAACAAACTTAATCCTTAATTGAAAAAAATGTCACTTTATGGTGGATCATGATATTGTCTTATGACATATAGTATCGGCTAAAGAAATAGAGATAGATAAAGCAAAAGTTGACCTTATTTCTGCTTTACCTTATCTCGTAAGTGTACGAGAAATGCGTTTCTTTTTGGGTTATGCAGGGTTCTTTTCGAGATTCATCAAGGACTTTTCAAAAATTGGAGCACTTTTGTTCAAATTGTTCCAAAAGGATGTAGCATTTGATTTCACCAATGAGTGCAAGGAGGCATTTAATAAATTGAAAGAGTCGTTAATATTACCTCCCGTCATTCAACCTTCAGACTGGAGCCTCCCATTCGAAATAATGTGCGACGCGAGTGATTACGCAGTAGGAGCGGTGTTGGAGCAAAGGATTGGCAGGACGGCTCATGCAATCTACTATACATTGAAAGCGTTGAATGGAGCTCAACTTAACTACTCTACGACGAAGAAAGAATTATTAGCTGTTATTTTTGTACTAGAAAAATTTATGTCTTATTTATTGGTTGCAAAAGTAATAATTTTCTCTGATATGCAGCCTTAAGGTACTTGTTGTCGAAAAAAGATGCAAAATCAAGACTCATCAGATGGATATTGCTCCTGCAAGAGTTCGACTTGAAGATTAAAGATAAAAGTGGGACAGAGAACTTAGTGGCTGATCACTAGAGTTGCTTGCTTGCACATAAGAAGGAGCAGCCATTGAGAGAGGAGTTTCCAGAGGGATAACTACTTGCTTGTGATTCATCTACACCTTGGTATGCTAGTAACTAATCAATTACTTGCAGGTTGGTCAAAGGCTAGGAAAGACAAATTGAAGAGTGATGCCAAATACTATATCTAGGGCGATCCCTACCTTTGGAGTCAAATTTCAGATCAAGTGCTAAAAAGGTGTGTAAATGCAGGTGAATCTACTCCATTTTAACTTTTTGTCATTTATTTGCGTGCGGAGGGCATTTTGGGCCAAAGCGAACAGCTCGTAAGGTGTTGGAGAATGACTTTTATTGGCCCACCCTTTTTAAAGATGCATATTCATTTTGTAAAACTTGTGATAAGTGTCAAAGAGTGAGGAATATTTTTCGTAGGGACCAAATACTTCAAATCCCTATGTTGTTTGTTGAAATTTTTGATGTATGGGGTATAGATTTCATGGGTCATTTTCCCTTGTTTTTTGGTTTCCTATACATCTTACTTGCTGTTGATTATGTCTCTAAATGGGTGGAAGCAAAAGTCACCCAAACTAATGATTCTAGAGTGGTTGTAGAATTTTTAAAGTATAACATTTTTGTCCGTTTTGGAATGCCGAGAGTTGTGGTGAGTGATAGGGGTACACACTTTTGTAATAAAACTATTGCTGCCCTGCTCTGAAAATATGGCGTACTCCACAAAGTATCTGCGCTATATCACCCGCAGACAAATGGTCAAACCAAAGTGTCAAATAGGGAGATCAAATCAATATTGTAGAAGATGGTGCGCTCCGATAGAAAGGATTGGAGTTTGAAATTGGAAGATGCACTATGGGCGTATCGCACCGTGTATAAGACGCCGATTAAGATGTCCCCGTATACACTAGTCTTCTGTAAGGTTTGTCATCTTCTAGTGGAGTTCGAGCATAAAGCGTTCAGGGCAGTAAAACAATGCAATATGGATCTTGAAGAAATAGGGGTCCAAAGAAAATTGAAACTACAAGAACTGGAAGAAATTAGGAATGAGGCATACGAGAACGCAATGATTTATAAGGAGAAGAGCAAGATTTTTCATGATCAACAAGTCTCAATCAAATCATTTGTAGTAGGGCAAAAAGTCCTCTTGTATCATTCAAGACTTCAACTTTTTCCCGGTAAGTTGCGTTTTCGTTGGATTGGTCCATTTATCGTTTCTAATATTTTCATTATGGTGCAGTGGAGATCCAAAATTTGAAAATGGATATGAAGTTCGTGGTGAATGGCCATCGTCTCAAACCATACTATGAAGGATTCTCCATTGAGGAAGTCGAATTCATACAACTCGAGGATCCAATTCATCCTTTTTAAGAGTTTCGGCCAAATCTAGCCAAAGACGTTAAAGAAAGACGCTACTTGGGAGGCAATCCAAGACTATTTGTTCTAGTTTTCTTGTGTTTTTTGAGTTTTTGTTAAGTGGTAGTGGCATTTAGTGAGTTGTTGTTTTGTGGCAGGTGCTGGCAGTTAGGCGTGTCCACGCTAAATGATTACGTCTAAAGAACGAAATTGAAAATTCACAAACAGAAGACTCTCCAGTAGTTAGGCGTGACCACTTGGAACTCAATTTCGAAAGATTGGTCAGAAGACTCCATATGAGTTAGGACCCACGCTAGGTGGTCACGCTTAAGATCCAAATTTTAGGAGGATGGTCAGAAGACTCGTAGGCAGTTAGGCGTGCCCAAGCCTAACACAGGGGTTCCTTGCTTTTTATTTTTTAAGAAAAAGGTGAAAAGATGAAATTGCCCTCATTTATTATATATATATAAAAAAATTTCTTAAGGACCCGTTGCCCCACTTTTCTTTTCTTCTCTTTCTTTTTCTTTCTTCCTTCTTCTTTCTTTTCCCATAGCTGTCCGCCGCCACCCATTTCTGAACTCCTCCATCGAGCCGCATCTTCCTCCGCTGCCACACCAAGCCATCACCACGGTTCGCTACCGTCTCCCCTTCGCTATCCGCCACCGCAACTCACTGCCAACAAGCGCGCGGCTCAGCGCGCATCTCACTTGCGCACACTAGCAAACTAGGCGCAGGACCTGCTCGCGTGCCCTCTTCCTTCCTATCGTGGTAGCAACAAGAATGCGACCAGCTCGTTTACCAGGCACTCGACTCCAGCTCGGGTGACCTTGCACACGAGCCTAGCGTGCGACCAGCTCGCCAACCAACGCCCAGGCGTAGCTAGGAACCCAGTAGCGCCCCAGCAGCAAGCGCACGCCTCATTTGCGCGCGTGCGACCTCCAACTCGTGTGACCCAGGGCGCATCTGCCCACCTTTCCGCACATGGCTGTTGCGCGCGGCCTCCTTCATTGCCGCCTCTACTTTGTCACCATCATACCCGCTGCTTGCTCTTCCCTGAGGTGTTTTCTTTCTTTAATTTTGCTATCCCTTTTAGCTGAGACCAGATTTCTAGTTTTTGAATAGCTGAGGACATATTTTTAAATTTGTAGCTGAGGCTAGATATTTTGATTTTCTAGCTGATGACATATATTTTGTGCTTAATTTGGGTGCTGTGATTTTGTCTGTGGTTGCTGTTGACTATTTGCTAAATTTTGGATTAAATCGGTGGTATTTGGGGGAGTCTTGCTGTGTTTACCTGTTTAATTAGATTTTGGGATGTTTATTGTCTAGTTCTCTAATTGTTGGTATTTGGAGCTGTGATTGGGGACCCCTTTGTTTAGTTGGCTGCCTGTTGACTCACTTTGAGCACTTGTACCCTGACCCCTGCCTTGTTCACTGATATCAAATGGTCAAACCAAAAAATAAAAGCAAGAATAGACCTTCCATCTTCACCTCATAGCCTACTGTGCCTTTGAGTAGGTCTTCCCAAGCGACTGTTCCAAGAGGCCTCCGGACTCGCCATAGCCGGAATAGGGAGGTTCGCATCTCCTCTCCGGCCCACTTCGGCGGCCATTTGACCTTTACTAGGGCTGTTGGTAAGGAATGGTATGCCGCTGCTTGCACAAAGAAGATTATTCCTTGCAATGCGATAATTGCGTAAATATATACAATGCGATAATTGGCATATGATCTAAAAGTGCCCTATTTAAATATCGGGGTAAGTCGAAAATGATGTGCAATATATATTCATATTATTAATGCAATAACTAAAATTTAAACATGCTTTTTATAAAAGGCAATTTTTTCTAAACGAATATCATGCCAAAACTCTTATTTTCTAAGGTTTGTGAATGCAAGAGAAGAGAAAAGAAAGAGAGGTTAATTCAATTAATAAATAACACATAGTACGTTGGAACAATAAAATGATACAAAAATATAAAAGAAGAGAAAATGAGTAAAATCTCTCCCCTCGTATCTAGTGTGCCTAATAGGGTAATGTTGACTCTATCCTAGGCTATTTTTAACATGGATGCATGAGATTAAACTCACTAATGCATCTAGACTTGATAAGATTTCAGACTCCCAAACTTTCAGACCAAGTGGCAAAAGGTCATTAATCCTAACACCTTCAGTTGGTGGTTCGAGTGATCTCTCATACATTGCTATGTGCACGTCGTGCCATGGCCACATGTCCAAGTGGATCGATTCTAATTTTAGTAGGGAGGAGTGGTGTGATAATCACTAAAAAAAAAAATCAAATGAAGGGTTATAAAAAAAATAGCGTATGCATGTATAAAGTGTTCTTTTGAGAGGAGGGATTAATATTAAGTACGTGTGAAGGATCTAACGTGATATTCCCCCCATCCTTAACAGAAAAGCACAATAACATGAATGAAAGTAAAAAAAAATCATCCATTACATATACGGAGAGCAAGAGACAATCATGTGTGTGAAATACAAAAAATTCTAAAAAAGTAAAAGAAAAAGAAAAAATGCAACCTAAACATCCCAATGTGATATGTAAAAAGATTAGACAAAGAAAAGAATCGACTAAACCAAGTTTTTGGATTCTCTAAATTCCCCAATGGAGTCACCAGTTGTCGCGCCCCATTTTTTTAAAAATAACTTTATTGTGTTGAAAAATGTATT